AAAAAAAAAGGCTGCAATAAATCTAGTGAGTGGAATCTGAGGGAAATGATCCCATCTGGAAAACTCCAGCGCTGGTGCTGCTGAAGGCTTAAGGAGCGATGCAGATCGCAAAAAGCAAACCCTGCAGTCTGAGGATGACAGCCTTCTTAATTGATGTCCATTGCAACTGGTACTCTGCCAGTTTACGTTGGCCCCGTTCCAGCGTGCTGTAATTTTGGGGCCAGGTGTGAAGCGTTTCTGTTCCATCTTGTTCCCAAGCACCTACAGAAGCCTCACACATCTCACTCGAGGCTGCAGCCCTGTAGGAAACAGCTGTACAAGTATAGGTGAAAGGAAATGTCACAGCTGGGCTCGCACTACTCCCCCGTGCTGTGCCTGGGGCTGCGCTGGGGAGGGCGAGCGGGGAGGTGGCCGCTGTCACCCGCACACCTGCCTGTCTGTCAGCAAGCTGCTTTGAACACCCTGAGCTGCTGGGAGGGACGAGGGGGTCCGAAGCTCCTGCTTAAAGAGGAGCACGGGGTGTATGCGTCAGATCTGGAAGTGAGGGTGCAGGGGGAGAGCCCCCAGGGGCTGCCGGGAGGCGGCACGGAGGTGGCACATCCATCTCGTGTGACTGCTCCTATGGGATCACGTGCTGACAGCACTGAGCCTCTTTCCAGAGGCTGAGAGTGGCACGGTCTGAGCGTACAGGCTGTGAGCTTTCTGTCTGGTGGCAAATGGGGGAGAGCAGGAGCCAGTGTCTAATCTGCAGGTTTGATCAGTAAAGGTTTTCTTTGTCCAGGTCACTGAGCCTATTGTTAAAGCCCAAACAAGCTTCCCCTCCAGGACTGCCCTACTGTTCACCCTGACATTTTAAGACCTCTGTTGACCAGATATGAATCCATACACCATATCCTGTGCACCGCGATCTCTGGGGCTTCTCTCCTCCTCCTGTCCCACTCGTATGCAGTGCTGGGGGCAGCGAGCTGCTTGCTGGGACCCCGAGCTGTGATCCAGGGCCAAGGGCAAATGCTGCCAGTCCTGCTGCTCGAGGATGGGGCACTTTGGCCATCGTGTCACCTCAGAGGGAGTTGTGCTGTTGGCTGTGAGCCGTGCACGCGTACCAACATGTGTGCAGTGCTGCTCCCTTTGGCTTTGGTGTCAGCAGAAGGCTTTTTTCAAGTGTTTTCTGGAAGTGTGATGCGATCTTCAGCTCAAGGCGCAGACTGACAGAATAAATCAGCCTTGTCCCATGCCTGCCTTCAGTCCGTGCTGGAGCTTTCTGTGCAGATCAGATGACGCTCGTTGTTGAACATCCTTGGCTTTTGTCGTCCCCAGGCCAGGTTTATGTAATGAGATGGAAAACTTGTGTTTGGCCCTTTGTCCTCAGAGCTGCCTCCGGAGGTTTGGTGCGGGCTCCTGGGACACGGGTAATGTCCCGTTCATGAAACTGGCAGAGCACGTGCTCCCAAAGCCAGCATCGGTGCAGTGAGCTCCGAGATGAGTGAGAATGGGAAGGGTTGTGTTTGCTTTGGGTCCTTTAGCAGGTTACAGCCTTGCTTCGGCCACACGGGCACCCACGTGGCACAAAGCCATGGCTGGAAAGGGCATCAGGCCCAGCAGTGCACAGCCCCAGCCATGAAAAAGGTATTCACCATGGCTGCAGTTTATTCGGAATGACATATTAGAGTTCAAACCTCTTGGAATTTGCTGATTAGTCTGTAAGTATATAGAAAGGCCTCATTAAAGCTCCATTAATGCTGGATCTCCTCCCAATGAGCCATCTCTTATTGCTGCCCAGAGAAAGCTGGAGGAAATGGAGAGGCTGCTCCGGCTGGCCAAGCCGTTCCCTGGGCATGGAGCGTGGCTGCAGCTCAGGCACTCCTTTGTGGTGCTGCAAGACTTAACATTGTGCTTCTGCTCTTGCAGGAGGGCCTGGCTCTCCAGCTGCCTCTGCCTAGTGGATGGGCACTGGAAAAGTTGTGGATGCCCCATTCCTAGAGGTGCCCTGGGCAGGCTGAGCTGGGTGACAGTCATCCCACTGCAGGGGTTGGAACTGGGTCATCTCTAAGGTCCCTTCCAACCCAACCATTCTATGATTCTGTGTGCTGCTACTCGGCTCTCAGTCACCCAGCTCGGCTCTCAGCCCGTTGTAGCTTCGTGGCACTGGCTGTGTTTTGTTTTTGACCGAGCAGAATGCTTAAAACTTCCCTGCTGAAGAAGGTAGTGGCTGTGGTATCCACCAACGCAGCTATTGGAGGGACCTCAGGAAGCCTGAAAAAAGCCCCAATTACTAACTCCTCATTGTTATCCTGAATAAGAAAGATCTGCATCCTGGGAAGCTTGCCAGAGCAGTAGACTGAGTGGAATTCAGGGAGTGGTCAGCCCAAATAACAGATGGGGATCTACTCTGTCTCTAAGGGAGACGGAAGGTGACCTCTGTCATTGAGCTGGGGGTTGCCTGCCACCATTGCGGTGCGTTGTATGGGGCTGTGCCTGGGTGAGGATGGAGAACCCAACGCCCTTGGTGGGCGATGACCGTGTCCTGTGCTGCTGTCCCATCCCAAATCAGGACAAGATATGATGGTCTTATTTATTGTTTCTTTTCTTGCCGTCATTGAAGCCCAAGCACTTCCCAGGCATTAATGAACGTATCTCCACAACACGTTGCAGCATAAGGAAAAGCAATTTCCTCGTTCAGGATTGGCAGCAGAGGTACACGAGGCTGAGGGACCGGCCTGGGTCCCACAGGAAGCCTCAGCTTCAGGATGAGAACAGGCCCCTGATACCCAGCACTTGGGGCCAGTGCCTCAACCCCAGGCCACCCTTGTCCCTTAGGATGAAGGGGAACGAAGGGAAGGGTCACGCGGAGCCTTTGGGTTCTTCCCACCCATAGGCAAGGAAAGTAAAAATGCTGTGTGTTTAATTCAGATCTTTTTCTTTTCCCCCATAATATATTTGCATATATTTACTTAAAAATAGGTTAAGAGACGTAGTTTTTCAGAATTAACAAAATTTACCCCAAGGTTTTGCACACGAGCATTTTACATGAAGCGTTTTTCCTGCTGTATAGCACTTGTGAGAATCTGTGTCACAAAAAGAGACAATAACAACATCCATTTCTGTCTATTTGGTTGGCTTTCTGAAAAACATTTTCCAAACTGTGCTGGGGATAAATGGGTGCACATACAAACAGGTGGAGGTGTGCACTGAGGTCTGACCACGTGCCCTGTTGCTCCATTCCTGGGCAACAGAATGGATTTACAGTTTGGTTCTCTGTTTATCTCAAGTGTAAATGATGCAGTGCATATGATAGAGCTCGTTATTGTTGAAGGAATTAAGATTTATGTGTGTGAATGGAAGGAGGTGAGGTTTGCTGGTTGACATAGAGCCTATTCCATGCATGATTTTGCAGAACTATGAAGGAGGGCATTGAGATCCATTCACTGTTGTTCCTTTGGATGCCTTCAGCCCCTGGCAGGGGAAGGTCATTCAGCTGTCAGGGTGGCACCTTTAGGCTGTGTAAAGATACAGAGTTTGGCTTGGTGGATCCTTGTGTCCCATGAGGTTTAGAGTTGGGATCTGAGCATCTTTATGGTGGGATCTGAGCACCTTCAGTGCTGCATGCATGGAGATGGCGAAGCCGCTCTTTGCTCCACATCCTTCCCTTTTCTATTTCCAGGATAAAAGCCACCAGTTGGGAGGATGATTTATTTAAATGAGTTATTTTATGTGTTGGGTTGTGTGTTGGGGTTTTTTTTTGTTTTTTTTTTTTTCTAAAATGAAACATCTTGGGCTGGTGAAATGTGAGGAGAGAATTTGCTGGAACTTTGGCTAGACTTAGAACATATGTCCTGGCAACGCGTGGACACAGAGCCTCAATCTCATAGTGATGGAATCCCCACCGCTGCTCTGGGTGACCACAGCAGGAGGGGACACCTGGCACAGTGTCACCCCTGGGGATGCTCTGTGTGTTCCCACATCCCTGGGGCAGAGCCTCCCTCCCCACAGGCACCTTCTCTCCCCTTCTGTAACTCACTGGGCTCACGTTCCCTCGGGCAGGATTCCCGCTTTTCAGCTCTTCCCAGCTTTCACCTCGGTTTCCCCCTTTTTAATAGGAATGCTTGGCCTCTTGCACTCAGGCTCGGGGAGGAGCAGCGTGTTTCTGCAGCTGGCCTGCTGCCAGATGTCATCACTTCAGGCAGTGCCACGCTGCACATCTTCAGCAGTTTGAAATGGAGAGACAGAGAGAGACAGATAAGATCAGCAGCTTTAGGTGATGGCATTGTTTCAAATAAACCATGCATGACCCAAAGCTTCCACTTCAAATGGGGAATGAAATTGCTTCATCCTTTGACAGCTTGCTCCATGAAAGAAATTTATCTTCACTTAATTGCTTTAGATCCCAAGAGGCTGTGTACAGTAATTTCTAGGAGATAATTATATCAAATTAAAAAAATATGTGACTATCTGACTGCTGAGCCTGGATGTGGTGGCCAGAGAGCAGGAAGGGAAGAGGCAGTGTGTCCTGCTCACAGGTTGGTACCCCCATTCCTTCTGGTGGAGCTGAGCTGGGCACCGGGCACCCTGATCCACATCTGATGGGGTTTCCCTGCTCCCACCTCATTGCTGGAGATGGGCAGCTTGCTGGGCTCAGCCTGGCACTGCCTTTGGGTGTTCGTTCTGATAGTGGTACGGCAGTGCTGAGGAACAAGAAAGCTTGTTGATTTAAAAACATGTATATTTAGAAGCAGAGTGTAAACTTCCTGCCCAGGCAGGGGTTGGATTCTTCACTCTGTTTGAGTTTCCAGCTTTCATTTCCTTTGCCCTCATACTTAACATTGTGTATCTCCCAGAGTGTGCCCCAGACTAATCTCCTTAACCCGCCCTCGCCCCGCATCTTTCTCTCATTATTTGCACATCAGTCCCACTCGGGGTAGGATGCAGTGCATCTCCTGCATGGCTGCTCCTGTGGGTCCCTCCATCCCTGTGGGGATGACCTCATCCCACAAAGGGCAGCAAACTCAAGCTGGTTGCTGCAGCGGGGACAGCAGTTGCCATGTGTCAGCAGAAGACATTCTTCCATTGCTGGTTGGAACCCTCTTTGTGACTCCGGGGCATTGCTCAGTAACCAGTTCCAGGAGGAGCAAAGCGTCCCATCAGCTGAACCTTCCTCCATCCTTCCCTCCAGGCTTCATGGGACAGCTCCTGCCCTCCTCTGCATTCACCCCTATAGGGACTAAGCTCATTCCCCGCAGCTCTAAGACCACTTTGGTGTGAGATCCTGCGTGGGCTCTCAAATGGCTGTCGACAACCCAGGGCCAGGAGCGAGCTCCTCCCCAGCCCTGTGATGTGCAGGCTGGTTTTTGAAGTGCGGTGCTGCTTCAGCTGTTCCCAGGAAGTCTGCAGGGGAACTGTGTTTGTACTGAGGAGGTGAAGTCCCTGTGTGTTTCTGGAGGGGATCTACTCAATGGGCTCTTTGATGTCACTGCAGTTCTTGGACTTACATCAAGTAAGTCTGAAAAAGAGAAAGAAATGCTTTGGTTTAGCCTGAAACATTTGCACCTGAGTGAGATGACCTGTGGCTGTCCTGTCCCGGTGCCTGGGGGGGTGGGAAGTGGTGGAGGGTTCTGCTCCTAGGAGCTGCCCACAGTTCGGGGTGGTGAGGCAGAACTGTAATTGGAGAAGTGTCTCCTGAAGGCAGCCCCACTGCTGGTGGCTTCCTTCACCCCATGCTGCAGCCTCTGGGGTGACTGTCCCCAGCTGTCCCTGCCTGCTGAGCCTTGTCCCCTAGTTCAGGCCCCAGGGTTCTGCCATAGGACTCTGGTGTTATCTCTGCCTGCCCGGCGTCAGCGCTCCCGCAGGTCACACATCCTGATCCCGAGCTGCCCGCTGCTTGGACTGCATCTTTTTTTGGATGAGATGTCTGGAGCTTGGCACATGGCAGTGCTCAGAGGCATCCGCTGCTGTGACCTCTGCAGCCTGGATAACCTTTGCCCTGCTACGTCCTCGCTCTGGGAACAACCCAGGGCTGGTTTGAGGTTTGGCTCCCTTAGTCCCAAGCTCAGGGAGGGGTTTTAGGGCAGCGATGTTTGGTGCAGGGAGCTCAGCCCCAGGGCGTGTTGCCCCTTGGGCTAAAACCTTTTCCACTGTGGGGTTTTTCTATGATTTCCCATACAGGTTTTCTCAGCAGCAGCCTCTCCGTCCCTCTGCTTTTCTCTGCTTTGTTCACATACTTCTTCACTTAACTCCTTTTTGTTGCCGTTATTGAAGAACGCATCACCTAAAGCCATTTGAATTGCACTCTCTGCTGCTAATAGTTCCAAAGGCTGACTGCCCTGACTGCCAGAATGAGGGGCCCGAGGGGATGGGCTGCAAGGAGGTGGGCAGCCATGTGCAGGAATTGGCACCAGAGCATTCAAGAAGCTGAGAATGAGAGCAGCCCCCATCTGGTTCCGCGCTGCAGCTCGGCGCGATCGGCATTTTGTTTCAGAGGCCACGAGTGAATGAGTTAATGATGATCCCAGATGGCTTTGGAGTTTGCCTCTTGCCACCCCTTCCTGTTCCCTCAGGATCTCAGATGGTGGCGGAAGATGAAGTAAAATTCTACAGTTTGTTGTAAAGTTCATCTCTCTCCCCAAATCGTGCTGCAACTTGTGCGCGCTGCGTTGGCAGCTTCAAGGGGATGCTACCTGGTAATTAATTAGTTGTCAAAAGACAGCCCAGAGGTTCCAACTCTTTACATCCTTGCTAATAGAAATTGCTCTGATTACATTTTCCCCCTTGGCTGGAGGGCTGCAGCACAGGAGCGTTGCTCCATGGGCAGCTGGAGGAGCCTGAGCGTCCCACGCTGGGACTCGGAGCGTGCTGGCACACGCATGGGCGAGCATGACCCCGGGCTGAGCCTTGGCTTATCTGCTAACACTGCACTGCTCTCCCTCTGCCTTCCTCTGGCCAGCGTTTCCCACCAGCCCCGGTTGTGTCTGACACCTCCAACAACTTTGTGCTTTCTCTGATTTAGCATCATTCACCATCCCTGGAAGTGTTGGGAACCGCGGAGATGTGGCACCGAGGGTCATGGTCAGCGGGCACTGTGACAGTGGGATGGAGTTGGACTTGGAGATCTGAGAGGTCTTTTCCAATCTGAATGGTTCTGTGAGTGAGCGTGGTGGTCATGGATTGATGGTTAGACTTGATCTTGGCAGACTTTTCCAAGCTTGATGATCCTGTGGTTTTGTGATTTGATGAGTGGCCGCGGTGGTGATGAGTTGATGATCTTGGTGGTCTTTTCCAACTGCAGTGTTTCTATAATTCTATGATCATTGCCACTAAACCCCATCAGCTCAGCTGTTGGTAGCCTGTTGTGAAGGCACGGGGCTGCAGAGCAGCTCTGGGGACCTTCAGGAGGTGCTGGTGGCAGTGCTCTGGTAGGATCAGAGCTCTCCTGGTGCACTTCTGTGCCTCACTCCAATGGAGCTTGGGATGGAGCCAAGCTCCATGCATCTGAGACACAGCTAACTTACCCCAGGGTGGATGGATGCAGGGGGTGCAGCAGGCAGCATAGGCACGTGATGTGTGACACAGCACAGCTCTTCCCTTGGCAAACACATGCTTGAGAGAAGATCCCGTGGGCAGGAGGGCTGTGTTCACTGCTGCCCCCATCCCAGGAAGGCTCCCTCCGGGTGCCATAAATCCAGCAGTGTGCCGGATGCTCTCACGCCCGTGGTGCTGTGCTGTCCTTCCCACCCCCGGGGAGCAGGCTCCAACCCACCTGGTGCTTGCAGCCATGTGGTCCCTTCTCTTTGTGTTTAGTTAAGTGTGGGAGGATGCGATGTTTGAACTCCCAGAGCCTTTTGGCTATTGTGTTCGCTGATACAGCCCCGCAAGCAGACGTGGCATTGCACAAGCATGGCCCTGGCCCTAACAAAGGCAGCTAGGATTTCTGGTGTTGGAAAGAGCAGCCTGGAAAGGGCATCATCTCATGCCAAAGATGAAGACAAAAGCATTTGGGAGGCAGGAAGTGATGAAAGCAGAGGGCAGATTGCAGGGCACCCGGCACTGCGGATGGGTGGCAGAGCCCCAGGACAGCAGCAGGGATGGAGGTGACAAATGGGCCAGGAAGGCACGGGGCTGCAGGGCCACCTCGGAGCTGGACGTGGTGCAGGAGGGCTCAGGGGACACCGCCACCATGGTGTCATGTACCAGCATGAGCCAGGAGGCTGTGTGCAGTCACAGTGCTCGAGCTGCGTTCCGTGCTGCTGGCTCCCACCCCACTTGGTTTTTCCAGCATCTGATCTGACTGTTTGTTTGCTTGCAATGATTTCAGTTGTTTTCTATTTTAGCCCATGACTCCCAGAGCCTGGGCTGGGGCAGGCAGGCACCGTTTGAAAGCCGCCACTTGGCGGCAACAACTGCTCGAGCCACAGAGCAGCACCCATCTAACCCCTCTTTTCACACACTCGGAACTTCCCAAACATTAACCTTTGGATTAAAATTTTCCATGCTTGGTCTCTCCCCAGATGTGATGTCTGAGCTTTGGTTTGGGTTCATGTTTTTCGTGTTTGCTGGGTTTGTGTTATGGGAGAATGAAAGAAATACTTTTCCCATTTGAAAAAATAATAATCATAATTGTAGTTTCCTTTTTTTTTTTTTTTTTTAATTTGAGGATTCACCAAAAATGGCCGAGGTTTGGAGGCTGAATGGACAGTAATTCCTGGGCTGCATTTAGGCACGCAGTGAGGTGTCCCAGCCCCAGGTGCGCAGTGCCACCAGCAGAGCCCATTGGGACCAGGACAGCCCAGTGTGAGTCAGGCTGAGCAGCTCCAGATTTGACAGAGGGAGAGTGGCTGCTTTTTGTTTTCTAGCAAAAAAAACAAACAAAAAAAGTTGTTTTTTCAGGCTCCACGTGTAGGATCACAACACACCAGGGTAGCATGGAGCGCACAGTTCTCCACTCTGTGCCGTGCCGGTGGCCCTGGTGTTTGGGGGTGCCACAGGGCAATGCGGTGGCATAGACCCTGCCCTGAGCCCCGTGCTTCCAAATTCCCATTCCTGGTGGCTGCACCTCTCACTGTCCTGAAGCCAAACTCTGCTGCTGCTGTTGACACCTCCTCGTGGAGTTCAGGACACGCTTGAGCGCTCCGCGTTTCCCTGCATTCTTTTATTCTGGCCGCTCTGCTCCAAGTCTGTGCGCTGCTCATCGGGTGGGGACCTGCTCTGTTCACACCAGCGCTTGTAATGTCTGGCCTGCAGCTCTGCCAAAGGCCAGAATTGGCTCTCCGTGCATGGCTGGATCGCAAGGACAACGTTAGATGGAGGGTGGAGTGAGCGAATACCCCTCTCTTCCTACTGTGCTTTCAGGAAATGTCTCTAGCGCAGCTGTAAGTGTGAATGAAGTCAAAAGAATGGATCGGTGCCCCCGCTCCAGCCCACCCCACTCGTCGGGGCCCATCCAGAGTCCCCACCCTATTGTTCTGGTTCAGCTCCCCCGTTTCAGGGCTGGGGCCCTGCTCTGTGCTCAGCATCCCGCTCCTGGGAGGAGGAGCTTTGGAGAAAACAAAGACGCAGCGAAGAGCTGCATAGTTTTCCTCTCGCTGCTGAGCTGCGGTTCTGATCCATCGCTCCTTTCCCGACGTGTGTGAGCAGCTCGGAGGTTTGAGCCACGTGCCAAAAGAGGAGAGCATTGGGTACGAGGAGCTGAGCCCTGCTGGAGCTTGGCTCAGTGCAAGGTGACCTCTCCGGAGCACGGCATGCTCAGAGCAGCCCCACAGTGAGCAGGACACTGAGGCACACGGCTCCTTCCAGCATCACTGGGAGTCCCCCTCAGTGGCTGGGAAGCAAGGTGCAGCTTCAGCCCTCCCTGCAGTGGCTGTGGTGTGAGCTGCTGCCCTCTCTGCCCCAGCACTGCAATACCTCCGGGCTGTGGTGGCATTCCTCTGGTGTCATTGCATTGCGTCCATGTCCCCACCCCTCTGTTTTCAAGGGAATTTCGTGGCAGCTGACATTCAGAGGGGCTGCTCCCTGCTCACGTGGCTTTCGCCTGCTTGTTATTTCAAAGCAGAGCTGCTTCTCCTTCCATTCCTGAAGTCGCTTCTCATGCAGGGCAGCTGGAGTGCTGCACCCTGTGATGTGAGCAGCACTGCTGGAGCTCCTGCCCTGGGTTCCTGAGGATGGCAATGGTGATGGAGGCAGCGTTGCAGGAGCACGTATCTCATGTTCAAAAGTTCTCCTAAAATCAGTGGGCTGAGTATCCGAATTGTGTCCTAGGCTTAAAAGGGCTGAAGGAATGAAGCACACACACAACCTGGCAGAGTAGAAGAACGTGGAGCCTGGGTCCAGGCGTGCTCATGTTAACACAGAGCTCAAGATGTGTGCCTAGGCATCCTCAGCTCCTCATCCAGCACAGCAAAAGGGCGGCTCTCAGCTCCTTTGGCACGGGGTGCTTAGGAGGAACCTTTGTGGTGATCCTTTGGTTGTGTTTCTCCTGTGTTCCTACCACTAAGACTGCCCACCCCGGCCAGTTTCCCTACAGTGGAATCCCAGTTCAGCAGCTCTGGACTGTGACCCTCTGAGAACCACTCGTGTTGGAGGAAGTGAAACCCCAGCAGCCAGGTGGGAGCGGGGCAGCCTGGGGGGGTTTTAGTGGTTCTCGTTCAAACAATCCTCCTGCAGCCTCAGAAATCCCGAGTTTCCTAAAAGAAGAGGAGAAAATTCCAAAGGCTTTCATCCCAGTTCAAATATCAAGCAGGGCGAGGAGCTGGGGAAGCTGCAGTGGGATCTCAGATGACATTCTCTGAAAAGCAAACTTAATGGAGTGCGAGTATGGGACGGCTCAGGCTGTGCCCTGTACAGCTCTGCTGAGCCAGGGGCTGGGGGAGAACGGATCTGGGGGGGCTGCCTGAGAGCTCCCTCCACTTCTGCAGCCTTTGGCACCTCTGTGAGATATTTAAATGACAGACAGACATCCAGGGATCTGTAAATACTCCGTCAGTGCCAACTCAACCACAAAGAAGATACAGCATTTGTGGTCCAAGGAAGTTTAAATATTTGTGGTCAAACTTAAAATTCGACATAAAACTCTCATCTGCGATGGAAGGCGTCCAGGAACTGCATGGAGAATGTATAAGCTGTGCAAACTCCCAGAAAGGGCTTCGCCGTTGCGCTGCCAGGGTGAGGCAGAACCTTCCACCCTTCCCTCTCCTCTCTCCGTGCTGCTGAGGGCAGGTATTGGTTTTGCATGGTGCACACTGGGTGCTCCCCAGGTGCTGGATGAGGGCTGCAGGGCAGCATCCTCGGAGCTTTCTGGAGCAGGGAGTTCTTGGCAGCTCCCTTCCTGCAGCCCATGCATGGCTATGGCCACCAGCAGCTCGGAGCAGTCCCCTTTCCCTTACTAAGCAATCCTCCCTTCCTCCACCGAAGCGCCTGCTAACCACTTTCTTATCTCTCTTAACTCTGCAAAACAATCTCTGGCAAGGCAGGCATCCTCCGAAATGGCAGAGGAAATAAATTCCCCCAGTCCCTGAAAAGGAAAAAACTGGAAGCTTGCAGCAGGGAGTTCAGTCCGTGGCCCAAGTTGGTGCCACATTGGCTTCAGTGTGATAGGGATCGTGCCTTCCTCCTCCTGTAGTGTGGGATCGTGGTCTGGGGGCAGATGCACAGGGCTTGGTGTTCTCCTTGCTTGGTGTTTTCATCTGCCTGGTGGAAAGCTGTGATTTTGCAGTTCTTCTGTGCTCGAAGACCCCAAAGAGCAGGAATGCCCCAGGTGCTCCCCTCAGCCGTGGGAGTTCCCAGCACCATGCGGAGCAGTGTGAGGCAGCATGGCACTGGAGCACTTGGCTATAGGAGGGAATGTGAGCGTTTTCCCCCATGGAAATCCCTGCAGGCTTTTCCCAGAGGCGTCGTGCTAACAAGTGAGCACACATCAGGGCATCTTCCAAACATCAGCAAAAGCTGAAAGCTTTGAACCCATCGGAAACTTTCTTCTCTGTGGCTATGGAGCTCTTGACTTTTCCAGCAGGAATTGCTGTGCTCACAAGGGATTCTGCAGTACCCTTGGGTGCATTTTGGGATGCACGCCTTTCCCCAACCCCATCGCAAGGTGTGACCTAGGAGGGGAAGGAGCTGGTTGTGTTTGGGCTCTGCAGGAGCCGTGAGATATTTTGTAGGGCACTGGCAGGCTGTGCCATGGCACAAAGGGTTTGAGGGTACAGAAGACCTGAGGTGGTGTGGGTTCTCCATTTGGAGTTTTAGTTTTCTCCCAGCCTAGATGAGTGAAAACTCCATCAGTATTCCTGCCCCACAGCCACTAGGTGCCAGCCAGGGAGAGAGAACTGGCCCTGGCAGCTCTGGATGCTCCTGCTCCCATGTTCCTGCCCTTTGCAGAGGGGCTGTTGGGAGCACGTGTGCTCCCAGCCTGCCTGCAGGGTCAGCTGAAATCAGCCGAGAGCAGCTGTGGCTGAAAGCCCTCAGCTGCAGAAACCAGGGTGCAACCCAGCTGTGAGCCCTGCTCCCGACTGTGAGGGTGCTTCAGTCCTACCCAGGTGGCCAAACCCCTGTGACCTGAGTGTGGGGCCACATCCTGGCAGCAGAGGCAGAGCTGGGGTACAACAGGGTTACACCCAGCACAGCTTTTGTGCAAACCCATAGCAGGTGGTGCAAAGCCACCATTTCTCTTTGCTTTCCTGCTGCTTGCTGTGCTGCCTGCATGCTCCAGGCTGGTCCTATGGGGTACCAGAAGGCATTCAGCCCTGTGATGCTCGAGGGGTTTGTGTGGATGTTTCACCTGGTTTGTTACACGTTGCATGGTTTGGGTTGTTTGGGGCTCGCTTGGTTTGGACATAAATCATCCACTTCGCTCTAACTAAGCTGTGCTTAAGTCAGTATGTCAAAATTCAGCGTTATCCCCATGCTGGATCACAGGTTTGGCTCTGTCCTCCTGGTCCCATCCCATTCCTGCCTCTGAATCCAGGACCTCTCCATGCTATGACTCAGCCTTCTCCTGTCCTTTTCTCCTTCTGAGTCCTGCTGCTGGCACATGCTGGTGTCTCCCCTTCTCCCCTTTGTACACAGGAATGCTGAGTGGCAGCAGCAGCTCTGAGCAAACCCTTCTGCAGCACCACTGCTTCCTGTGCATGCCGAGTCCAGGCTTTCACCAAGCAAAGCTCTGCACCCCACAGTGAGCACACGGTGGGAGCAGCCCTCCACGGTCTGAGTCCTTGTGGTCCCCAAGCAGCTGGCCCAGCTGCCACAGCTCCTTGGGCTAAATGCAGCTGAAGGGGCTGCATTCCTGCCTCACAGTTATTTGCTCTTTAGGACGCTGTGTAAAATTAACAAGTTGTAAAAGCCAATTGAAGGCAGCGATTTGCCTGGCTGCAGGGAGATGCTGAGCCTTTGACCCCCAGTGGGAGCGGGGCTGCTCTGTGGCACCCCAGGTGCATGTGTCCCCCCAGACCCAGTCCTCCAGGAGACTCCGATCTCAGCTTCACCTGGAGGCACCACAAGCACAGGGTCCTGAGAGGACCTGGTGTGTCTGTACGGGCAGTTAGCGTGTTAACGTGCGTCCTGCTGCATCCTGCCCAATGATTGGGGATGTAAATGGGTGAGCCAGGAGCTGGCAGCACTAACGAACCGTCTCAGCGTGCCACCAGCCTGCGGTTAGCGTGTCTGATCTGGGGTCAGATTAGAAACCTCGCACCTCCGGGCACAGCCGGGTGACACAGCACTGGTACCCAGCACCACCGCAGCCCCAGGTCCCACGCGGCCCCGAAAGGCACCGCAGAGGAACCGACCCGGGTCACGTCGGAGGGCACCGGCCCACTTCAGCAATTCTCGGTTTCGGTTTTCCTTTGAGAGCTGCTGTGTGCGTGTCAGCCCTATTTTAATACCCGGCGGCGACGCGGAGCCAGGCTTTCGGTTCCTGCTGGCTGGCTGCACGCTCGCAGGGGGAAGGGTGCATGGGGCCGGGGTGTCACGGCAGCATCACCAAAGGCATCAGCGCCGTTCCATTTCAGATTCAGCTTTGGGAGAGAGCGCACAGCTCCTGGTGGCCCCGCTGAGCTCTCCCCTCGGTTAGCATGGAGCTAACGCCGTGCACCCCATGACTATCCCCGTGGTTCTGGGAACGTGGCACTCACGTTTCCACACCGAAACGGGAAGTCGGTGGCATGTCACGCTCTGCCATTGGCTGCCACCGGTGGGTCACTCCTTTCCCAGCACCCCAGCCTGGCTCCAGGCAGGCAGCCCCGGGGCTCTGGCACGGTCCCGGCACACACGTGATGGGGATGTGTGGAGCGTTCGCTCGGTGCCTGTTTTTCGTTCATGTGGGCTGGAAAAATGTGTTCATGAGACAAGTTGCTGTGGCATTATGTCATGGGCCTTCGGTTGGGCTCTTTGCTCCCTTAGCAGATGATCTGAATTGGAGCATCGGGCTGCACCGGCTTGGCAGGACATTGGGAGCTTACGTGAAAACCTCGTGGGTCGTAAGCTAAATGCAATTACTTTTATTTCGGGAGCAATCAGCCTCTCCTGCATCCCTTTCCCTGCTGCTGCTGTACGCCCCACGGTGCACAAATGCTCACAGGTGGGTCCCTGCGGCCGTATCCACGTGGGCAGGGATGATCCCAGCACCTTTGGCATGAGGGAACTGCAGTCACCAGGGCTGGAAAACCCCAGGCTGGAGCTGCCCTGGCTGAGTCAGGCTGCTCCCTGCGTGCAGTTACCATCCGAGTGAGGGTGAACCTGGCCCTGAGGTTTCCACCACTTCCCCTGGGGCCGCTGCAGCCAGCAGCTTTCACAGGGGGTGTTTTCCTGTGACAACCATTCTTTTCTCTTCCCTTTGGATTTTCCCCGTGGCAGAATCATTCCTACAGGAGTGCCAGGAGGATGGAAACGTTCCTTGCTGGGCTCACTCCAGGCTGGACGCAGCACAGAGGGGTCAGTCCCATTCCCACCTCAGCTTGTCCTCTGCTCTGTCCCGTAGGGCACCCTTTTTAGGTGTAGGTTTGGGGCAGCTCCAAGCACCGTGACTCTGCCGCCTGCCCCAAGGGTGCCTCGTGTGGGCAGTAACCGGGGTGGGAGGTTGCAGGTCAGAGCAGGGTCAGGTCTTTGACACGCACGGCAGCGACGCGGTGGTTAAAATTAGTTTGTGGAGAGGAAACTGGCAGCATTGTGGAAGAGCAGAAGTTTCCTCTCACGGCAGCATGGTGCTGCTGCACTGCAGGACACTGCCAGCCCCTGCCTGCCCCCATCCCTGTCCCCACCCAGCATGGGGTGACCCAGGCTTTGCAGTGCCCTGCTGTGTGTCCCAAGGATGGGGTCTGCTCCACCTAGGAGTCAGTAAGGATGCTGGGGATGGGGTCTGGAGCCTGCTTTGTCCTGGGAGGGAACTGCAGCAGAAGGTTCTGAGGCATGAATGTGAATTTTGCAGAGTGGGTGACACTTCCAGGCTCCATTTGCTTCCCCATGGCTGGCTGCAGGCAGCAGGAAGCACCAGAGGAGCAGACTGCAGGTGTGGAGCCCCACGGCGATGGGGGATGAGGAGGGTCATGGTGGAGGCACAGGCAAAGGCCACGGAGGCACCGTGCTCCCGTGCTCTGGAAACTCCATTTGAGAGCCTCATAAATGGATAATTACCTGAGCTATTGAGTTTCCTTCTGGCCAGATCCATCCCAGCCTCCCTGACAAGGGCTCGCCTAACGGCCTGTGGGGCCGGCCTGCAGGATGGGGTTGGGATGGAGCTGGTGTTCATGCCCCTGCCCGCCTGCCCCACACCTGCATCCCTCCCTTCTGCTTTCAGTAAGGGGGGTGCTGGCATTTGAGCAAAAACAGAACGGTAAGGACTGACTGCATCATTCATCCCTCCCTGGAGACGCTGGGCAAATCCCTTCCATCCCCATCTATAAGGCAAAGGGGACCCCAAACAATGCAGTGCCCTCCATGTGCTGCAGGGCTCTCTGCCCCCCATGCTCCCCTCTGCCTGTTGCCTCCCCTTTGCACTGACTTTGTTTTCCTTTCCCTCTCCCCAACCCCCTCACCCTCACCCCACAGGTTATTGCAGCCGACTGCAAGAGGGTCACAGTTCTGAAGTATTTCCTGGAAGCCCTTTGTGGACAAGAAGAGCCTTTGCTGGCATTCAAGGGTGGAAAATATGTGTCAGTGGCACCCGTCCCAGACGCCATGGGAAAGGAAATGGGAAGCCAAGAGGGAAAACAACTGGAAGATCAGGTACAGTGCGGGAAGAGTGCGCCTCAGTGAAGGAAGAATCACCCCAGTGGGGCCCAGCCTCTGCCTGCCCCACAGCTCCCACTATTTATAGCTGCATGTGCATTTTATGGGGAGAATCGGGGGGGCAAATAGTGCACAGCCCTCGAGCATGCTTTACTCGTGCCCTTTGCTGCCAGCCCGGGCCCTGAGCCTCTGTCTTCCGTGCTGCTATGAGTTCCAGATGCTTCTTGGTACTGCGTGCAGGGGGGGCCTGGCCTGAACGCCCCTCCCAGGAGGGGAGGTGGGCGAAGGAGCGTCAGGGTTCAGCCTCAGGATCAAGTTGAGAGCCATGGAGCTGCTTGCAGCAGAGGCCCGGGCTCCAGCCTCCAGCACACGTACAGGAAGAGCTGACATTGGCGCCCCGTCCCTCCCCTGCCTCTCACATCCTGATGTGATTAAGGAATTCAGCTCTTGTTTTTCTGCCCTTGCTTGTTCCTGTAGGCCTTGCTTCGCTCCAGGCTCCATGTGTGTGTTTAAGGGCCCTGCCAGCCGCTCTGCAGGTTGATTCTTTTCTTGTGTTTCATCTTGCAGTTTGAAAGGCTGAGGAAACAGCAGTGTGGGGCAGAGCCACCCAACTCCCAGTCCCCTCCCAGTGCCGAGGGAATCGCCCGGTGCCTCCCCTCTGCCAGCACTGGGTGGCCTGTGATGTGTGTCCCCTGTGCCCCATAGGGCTGACAGCCATGGGGACCCTTCTTGTCCCTCCCAGTGAATGGCTGAGGCTGAGCAGGGCATGAATTTTAGATGTTTTCACAAGTAAAGGGGCACCTGGAGTCCCAGACCCCTATTTTCCTCTGGAGGCTGCTCAGGAGGTTTTCATGCTGACACTGCAGCTCATGTAATATCTGGGATCTGTAGGTCCCACCAAGGTGACAGGGACGCTGCTCTCTGTTGTGGGGCTCTGCGCTCCTGTTTCAGCTCCATAACCAGAGCCTCCACGTGGCTGTGGGAACCTCTCCGCGCTTTCCTTGCACAACCCTGGAGCTTCCTCCTTAGGGTCTGAGCACAAGGCAGCTCCCAGCTTGCCAGTGTGACCAGCCCTGAGCCCGGGCAAGCAGAGCCCGACCCAAAAAACCACAGCGGATCTGCACCCGACATGCCTCACAGCATCCCCCATCCTCTGTGGTCCAGGCTGTCCCAGAGAGGGAAGTGAGCCCGAGGGCTCCCTCTTCCTCCTTCCCAGGGCTCAGAAGTCACAAGCAGAGTGGAGCACTTGGTTCTGTGGCCAGGCGTGTGCATGGCTCTGGGTGGAAGGACTGAGCATGCAACTGAACGGTGTTGGGATTGCTGAGATGAAGACTGCAGGTCCTTGCTCACACGTGGCAGCCTGCTGTGGGTAGCAGTGCTCTCCTGTTCTTTTTTGGGATAGTCTCAAACAAGATCTGTTGAGGTGCTCCACGTGTGTCTGCCCTCAAGCAAGGCAGCACCGTCATGGCTGCAGGGCGGGCAGGTGGGGACCAACAGCCTCCTCTCACAGGGATGTGCCAGGCAAAGTGCTATTTCCCTAAATACCACGCTCCCCACCTTGCAGAGCTGAAGCCTGTAAAGCATCAGTGACTCACCCAGGGCCGTGGGAAGAGTTTTCCAACACCAGGCAGTTTGCTTATAGAACAGAGCTTTAACAGGGCCGCCCCTTCCCTGCCTTGTGTCTGGCATCTCTGCCCCATTCCATTGTGTCTTATTTTCCTGCGTGTATGCCATGTATTTGTGTTGCTTGCTTCTTCTGAAGGTTTAGAGATAGTCTCCCATCAGTGTGGGACAAACTGTGCCAGGTGGGAATTTGTGTGCTGAGGAGAACCGCAGCCCCTGCCGCCAGCATCCCTTACAATCACTTCTGTCCTGTTTTTGTCTTTGTACATTTCCTGGAAGAAGGAAGATGATGTGAGGATTGAGGCATTTGAAGATGACTCAGAGGCTGAAGGCAGTGGAGGAGAGATGGACATCAAGGAACTCCGAGCCAAGAAGCAAGCACTGGCCAGGAAGGTGGCAGAGCAGCAGCGTCGGCAGGACAAGATTCAGGTAGGATGGGACCACGTCCAGCTGAGGAGCTGCTTTACTTTTGTACCTGGGCTGATCCTATCTCGCTGTGCTGGGTGTACACAGCTTTGTTTAAGGTTTCTTGGGATGTCCCTTGGTCCCACTGCAAAACCCAACTGCACTTTCAGAGCACGGAGCCAAACCTGCATTGCTGAACCACCCCAGGGTAAGCTCTGCCTTCCCAACGCCTTGGCTAAGCGTGCTGGCTCTCCAGGAGCCCTCAAGGAGCTGCACAGTGCTTCTCACGGAGTTGCTGGCGCTCCCTGCAGTGCTGACAGAGCTCCTGCTGGTGGCTGCAGTGCAGCGGGTGCCAGGCAGCAGGCTGTCCCGGGCTGGGACAGCAGCTCGGTGGCCCCAGGGCTCAGTGAGGAGGCGGCTTTCCCATGCAGCAGGGCACGGGCAGACTGGGGAGAGGGTGGGACGTGAACGGCAGAGTTCATGTGGGAGCCAACAGCAGGAAAAACAGCCTGCGGATGGCTGCTGCGGCCAGAGCACTGCTTGCAAAGCGTTGCCATCGTTATGGGGACAAACAGACGGGATACAGGTGATGCTGTGCTGGCCCTGGCCTAATCTTAGCACATCTCCCAGTGGGAGCCTGTGAAGCGAGCTGGGGAGCAGCTGCCCACCAGTGCCTTCTGTTGCTTTAAGAGCGAGCTGACATGCACGCTGCTGGCCGCCTTGCCGCTCGCAGCCCCTCTTCCTTCAGCCTCGTGGCCCAGATGAGGATTTCTCAGCAGAGGAAAATTCTCCCTGGCTCCCCTCCCCCTCACCTCCGCCCTCTCTAATGCCCAGGGCCCTTCACTTCCATAATTCTTCATTTTCCAGCCTTGAACGTAAGCCAGACACATCTGTCTGGCCATATGCGTGAACTCTGCAGTGTGTGCCGAGGTGGTTGTAAAACAGGGCTGCTGAAGGCCCTACTGGGAGAGCGCACACATGTGTACCCTCCGGCTATTGGCGCCGGGCCCAGAACCACTGCGCTTCACTTTTCCAAACCCACCCCAACCTTTTCAGATTTTGCCTTTTTTTTTTTTTTTTTTTTTTTTCCCCCTTTTTTTTTTTTTTTTTTTTTTTTTTTTTTTTTTTTTTTTTTTTTTTTTAATTTACATTTGAATTTTGAGAAATTCGTATCGAGGCAAAGGTATAAATTGTGCCGGGAGGGAGGGGCCGCCCCCGCAAGCGAGTCCATTATTGTTGGCAGGTACCTGGGTCACATTAATACAATAAGGAAGAAAGCAGCAGCGAATGAGTGAGAGATTGGAGAGATGGGCTGTAAATTAAAGCGGCCTGAAGCCTTCCAGCCTCCCAGGGTTGTTAAGCGGGAGGTGTAAGTAAATTCCCCACTTCCCACCGCCTTGTACAGACACAGCAAACAGGAACTGCACATGTTCGGGGAGGGCAGTGCATGCAGATCCCGGCCCAGCTGCGCCGGGGCCCCCGGGACGGCCGCTGCCCGTTCTGCAGGGAACGTGGGGGCTGCCTGATGTGTCAGGGGCTTTTCTCCCCGGCCCACTCCTCCCTTCCTCCTGAGCCTCCTCTCGCAGGCAGAGAGAGGTCAACATGAGGGTGTGGGCAGCTTCGGGGGCTGCACAGCTGAGAGCTGAGGTGCAGTCGGAGCATGGGTGGAGGAGAAAAAGTCCTTGGGGGCTTTGCTAAAGTCAGCCAGGCCATGGCTGGCTGGGAACAGCCCGCAGCAGAACATGTGTGCGGCCCAGAGCTGGGATGGGGAGGCCAGGCTGAAGCCAACCCTGCGCCGCACCCCTCGGATCTCCCTGCCTTGACCTGTGGGTCTCTGGTTTTCTTGAGGGATTTGTGCTTCCTGGGACTTGCTGCCTTCTAGGTTTCATCCTGTAGCTCTTGCTCCTCTCTGGGATTCTCTCGCTGGCTGCTCTGCAGTTCCCCTTTTCATTACCCCGGGGATGAGCTGCAGTCCCATGTATTCACTGGAGCCCAGCGGATGCAGCTCCTGTGTTTGCACAGCCAGGACCCTCAGCTCTCCGTGCACATCCGTGTGCACTGATGGGGGCATGGCCCAGAGAGCCCGGGCACCCCAGAGCCTCCTGCAGAGCCTGGTAGTGCAGGGCTCAGGGAGAAGCCTCCATCTTTTGGCTACTCATTTTCTTTCTAAGTGTTTTGATATCTCTGAGGTTTCCCCATTGACATCCCTGTGCCATCCCTTAGGAGGGTTTGTTGTGCCCATAGGGAGCGTGGTGTGGTGGCCTCACCTGCACCCTGCAGAGTTGTGCTTCTCTTCACCTCCTCTCTGGTGGGTTTTTGGGCACTGCCTTCTTTCTCTCACTGTGCTCCCCTCCTCTTGCTGCCCACCTGTGCCACCAGTGTGGACCATCTACTCACTGCAACCCTACTTGTCCTTCTTATAGCTCCCAAACACAGACATTGCTGTGGTCGTTGCTGCGGATTGAGGCTTTATTGTGCTTCCCTCACTGCCCTGACTTAACTTGCTCAAGCTGGTGGGGAAATATGGGTCCAGGCAGTAAATAGGGGTGGCCCTTGGGGCCAGCAGAGAGAGCCGAGCTCCGGAACATCACACTGAGATGGGATAGAGTGGCTTTAGATCTCAGGCTTTTGCAGCCTTCTTTGCAACGGGCAGCCCTTTGCTGCCTGGCTGGGGCTTGCAATCCACCCCCACGCTTGGCATGGCCCTCGGTCGGCGCTGCTCGGTGTCCCCTGTCCTTTGTGCCTCTGCTGTGCGCTGGGAGCGGTCGAGTTTCCTGAACGGTTGA